CCACTGAGGGCACAAACAATAGTTCCGTTTTTGTTTATTTTTATCATATGCCACAGAAGTTGATAGAACTGAATCGTTCTCTTCTTCTCTTGACTTACAAACCACTAACACTTTGATGAGAAGCCCTTTAATGTCAGACAAGTCAATCAAGCTGACAGTGGTGGATTATGGAGTTTGATACTTCCTGAAAACTACCTCAGCTGTGTAAAAAGGACTGTCAAGATGCAAGATAAACTTTCAGTGGTGAATCTCACAAAAGTGTCCTTAAATCACTGTTAAAATGACATTGCGGGAAAGACTATTCTGTTTCAAGAAGTCAACATCTGCACATTTGACATCCTGTGAATACAGAAAGTGAAATGAGGGCACAGATCATTTTATTTACAACACACACTTTCCATAAATAGGGTACAATCATTTGTGGAACGTGCATATAATGTTTAATTAATATTATATCCATAATGTAAAATAATGTAATAATATTATTTATATGTAAAAAATGTATTTTACCTCTTGTTCTTTGCACTACAATAAATTGATCTTACTTTATAGCTGTTTTATCAGTGTTCATGTTTCACAGATTTAAATATGAACATTTATGTGTATTACATTCATTTTGTATAGGCCGTTTGTGTATAACAACAGATTTATTATATAAATATGTAATCTTTAAACTACAGAACCCATAAAGCCAAGGTACAACCAGTTGAAGGAAATATGTAGTTCTTCTAAGATAAACAAGATTACTTGCACAAAGGAGGGCCGTTAACATGGAGAACTACAAGTACCACAATGCATAGCGGCTTGACGTGTCATCAAGCAAACATGGCTGCGCCCTAAAAACATTAATGTTTTTTTTACTCAGATTTCAATTCTTCCATTATTACTACTAACAAACTGGCCGATTCGAATGAAACAGGCGAGTTTAAAAAGATTATTTACTGAATGCGTTAGCGGCCTAATAAAACGAAACTAATACAGCGGCTGTCAACGAAGACATAATTGTTTTTTTTTT